GTCTGAGCGGATGGCGTCGGGTGAAATGACCCATTCGATGGTTGGAGCTGGTTTACCTGTGGCAGAGCAGCTGAACTCGACCTCCTTGTTTTCCCCCTCAGTCCCACCTCTGGGAACATACATTGTGTTCACAGCCGATATTCCTTAATGGAGAATCGAAACTGGTCACTGCGAGAACTCCGAGCTTCTCTTTGACAAAAATTATATGACCACTTGAATTCATCAGTTAAATGTCATGCAGTCAAAGCCATATATAAAAAAGTTTCAAAATAAATGTCAAACCTCTAAAGCAAAGTTTTTAGCTTTTGCCAGCAGAGGTTGGCAAAAGCAAGACTTTCATCTGTTATTATAATACTCTTCTTTATAAGTAGTGACTTTATTTCCATAATTCAAAATTAATTTAAGTATGACTTTTGCTCAGAATTATGACATCAATTTCAGAATTCAGTCTTTTCTTTTAATTGGTAGGAAACTACTACTTCAATCTACCTTGCACCTTGAGGCAAGTCTTCTTCGTTTTGGACCCATCAGGATACACGTTAAATGAGCAGATATAACAGCTTTCATCTTGCCATGATACATTGTTAAGAGTGATGGATGTTGAGCTCAGGGTCGCTTCTGTGAAGATCACTTTTCCGCGATAAGGCCGATTTACTTGTTGTCCAAACCGCTCGCTGTAGGTTGCCAAGTTTTCTATTGAGTTATCCTTGAAATGCCTCTGCCACGTGACCTGGAGCACACCTGATGGGAAGCCAGACAGTAATGCTTAAGTCAATATTTACAGTAAAACACATCAGAAGCCGAGTGACACCAGCTGCTCAGAGCAGATAAATAGAAAAGGGAACAACAGAATAATGATAGAGATACAACTTCACAATAAGACTAGCACTAAAATAAGAAAGACAAAACACACCTTTTTGGTTTCCCAGTGTGCACCTGTAATGCGCCTCCCCGCCATACTCAGCTGTTGTATTTCCATATCCAGTTATTTGCAAGGCTGAGGCTAAAAATGAAAATAGCTGCATGTCAGTAAAAGCACAATAATGAAAACAATAATATAATTATTTATTTATTTATCTATAATAATAAAATAGCCTATAAAAATATTTTAATAAAAACAGAAGCTTTGACTTCCAGTCTGTGATCACATGAAGAAAAAAATCTACAAATATATTTGTGGATTTTTAATAAAATACCAATATCCTTCCAGTTTTTTCTATAATAGTAATAATAATTTAAAAAAAACAAAAAACTACTACACTGAACATCCTCATCTGACAGTAACCTACCTTTGAACAGCAAACTGAATATCAGGATGTGCAACATTGTCCTTCCAGTGCTGTCTGTACTGAGCACACTTTCAGTTTTGCCTTTTAAAAGGCTTTAAAGTGAAACTATAGGATGGGGATTTCTGAGTAGCACATCAAATGGGAGCTATCAGTTTTGGGAATTGATGAATGCTCTAAAGCAAAAGTATCATTTTGGGAAAACAGCTTTCAGATAACAACACAGAAAAGTTGACTGTTACTGTACATGGGTGTAAAAGAGGCTGAATTAGATTTTTACATGATATGAAAACTGACTACAGACCATTTGATGATGCTGGGCGATCCAGGTAAAATATATTACTGAATATTCATATGATAACAGGACATTTTACTTTTGAACTCAAATTGAGAATACAGGAGAAAATACAGTAATTGCAAATCCACTGAAATAATATTTCACAGAAACATATTCTCTATTGAAACTCATTGCTTCACACTTTTTTTTCCTCATGTTACTACTGTAAAGTCCAGTAAATGGTATACTTACTGTACTGTACAACAAGTCCAGGAATCTCAAGTGGTTAAAAAACCCCGAGAAGCAGAAGTTCTATGGTAATTAGCTGTGGTTTGAGGTTTCAATACCACCATAACCGCTGGGAATAGATGACCATGTGCTTATTTTTGTGGTATAAGCATGATCATAACCATTTGATATTTAACATATGAGGCTCTGGCCAACTTGAGCTGATGTCACAGATTGCAGTGGGGAAGTCCACAGTATGTATGTACTTCTGTGTAACGAGGTAAGAACTATTCAGGAGGCTTCTCAACACTCATGAGTCACCGGTGTAGCTCATAGCCAAGTCAGGTCTTGAAAGAGTTGACTTCCCTTAATTAGTATTTCCTCTGCTCATCGACCAATTATCCTGCTTAGTCCATTAAGGCTAAACGCTGCTTGATATAAACCCTTATTTCTTTCCAAAGATGCTCCATCATGGCCTTCAGTGTTGGCTACTTCTCAGCTTTTACAGTGCAACAGTCATGTTCGTGTCTTGAGTAAGCCTGATTCAATTCTTAGTAAACCCGGGAGTGACTCCAGTATAAAAATTATACAAACTTATTCCCTTTAGGTTTGTATGGTCATGCATATAATCCTCATAATTTACCAGAAACGTTCCCCGACTACGTCCCCTCCTCTGCTATCAGGTCACACCCTATGCACAATGACCCTGTGTAAATCTGAAACTAGTGGTGGGGCACAACCCTGTGATTTTAATCTTCGGGAACTATATCATGGGGAGATTGTTGCCGGTGCCTCACTCAGAGCATACTCCCTGCATTTTTCATCGGATACATCACAACCCAACAGGAAGGAAAGGGAGCAGGATCACATGCTGACAGAGGGTGGATCTGAAGCCAAGATGAAGTTATGAGGTCATATTTTTGACCCTGGTTGTCCAGTAAGAAATATTATAATCTTATATAATCCAGTCTCTTGTGAAATCTTGTTTACTAAACCGTGTAGAGGGGAAGTCAGTCTAGGAAAGAACCCAAGTGCTCTGTGGAAGGGTTATGTGACCGCCAAGCATTTGTCAGTTATGGATGTACTCACGATAGCCTGGGATAAAACATAAAATGATATTAATAATACAAACATTTAATTTCCCTAATGGACTGCTCACTGGACTCTCATCAATCATTAAACACCTCTGTCATTTTCAGTATCGCATTTACTCATTCTATTAAATCCAGATAATATGATTCAATAAAAGGTGTGTTAGAGTGGACAATGTACTGTGAGAAGGCCACGCTTTTCCGGATCCTCAGGGTTTACAGCTGCATGTTGTAAAAAAAAAAAAAAAAACAACAAAAAAAAAAACATTCTAAGTTACATGTGGAAAGTACCTGTGCTGCCTACCTGGCCCATGACACGTTATTCTAAACCAGTATGTGTCACTAAAATCATGGCTTGTGTATTTGCACATGCCAATATTAAAGCTCCATCAATATAATCTAGATAAGACCAGAAAGTATAGCCTATACTATTTTGGTCACAGGGGCCACTTCTCTGATTTTCTATCTTATCTCTCTGCACCATTCGTTGACAGTCACAGCCTACCAGTTAGTTGCAAAACAAATTTTTCCTAAGGGAATTGAAGGTTCAACTGAGTTTGTGCTTGATCTGCTGTTTTTGCAAAGGTTTGACACTTATATACAATAAGCCAAAAGGCTGTGTGAGTATTCCTATATGGAAGGCCAGTATCAATGGAGTCATGTCCCCCGGATACGACCCGTAGGAGCGTTTCTTGTGGTGTTAGGAGATATGCAACAGGCAAAAAATCACTGTTGAAAAAATAAATAACAAGCCTTTCCATGATGTTACTGGCTTGGTTAGGCTTAACCACAAAAACAACCTGCTTAGGTGTGGGGAAATACAAGGCTTCCTGACTGGAACATAAACATGTTGTTTAGGGGCATTTGCAGAAAAGACTGACGCTTGGTTTATGGTTTACAGTAAATTGTAACAATGGATCCTAATAAGCTGCTTGCTCTCATGATACAGTACAGAAACAGTGATCTTGATGAGAGCAGGCGCCACTGGTATAAATACAGGCTGTGTGTGAGTGGGCAGGGGAACGTCAGGTGACGAGGGGTGGAGGGAAAATCAGCCTATCTGGTGACTGAAGGGAATATGGCTCATTTTTAATGCTTGATCAACTGTGGTTGAAAAACACAAACATCGTCACGTGCAGGAAAGTGCTGCCTCAACAGTCGGGACAGCTGACTGATTTCCCTTTGTCATGCTGAGGGAGTCAGTTCTCTTGACCCTTAATAATATCTGCCTCGCTTGGCCTGTCCCACACCTCTATGGTTGTGATCAACAACAACAACAACAAAAAAGAAATGCAAAAAAAATGCATATCACATTATTTGCATACCTTGTGCAAGTGAAGAACAGAAGTACATGCTCTTCCCAGGGTAGGGAGTTTCATATCCGATGTTCTTGACCTGTAGTAGCTCAGTTCCTCTGTAAATAAAAAGGAATGCTACAGTTAGCAGGGGAACACCAGACAGGGGAAGACAATTACAAAGGATTTAATTTTGTGTTGGTGTTTGCAGGATGAAAATGAAAGAAAAGACAGCAAAAGAAATCAAGGAATTAAAAGAAATAAAGTAATTAAAATCTATATATCAAGACTTTGCAATAAATAATGGCAATAATAATGGCAACTGTCAAACGGCATCATGCTGTAATAGACCTGACTGAAACAGGCAGGTATTCTAAATGAGAATAACTTACAAGTATGCTTGATAAAATGTAATTACTTTTAATGTCAGTGAATAAAAGCACTGAACTAAACCAAATATCCACCTCTGATAGTAACACTGAGATAGCTTCCACTATCCTGCTGTTTAAGTGTTGGGGGGAGAACACTGAAAGACGGTGATACAGACACATGTACAGTAGGTGGCACTGTTGTCCCCCGTTACTCTCTGTTATGATCTTCCAAACTATAACCACAGAATTGATATTCAAGTCTTCCATTGGCTTCATATAGAGACATGTGGTTGTCATATGAAGGACTGCAGAGTCACCACACTGAATAAAAAATGAGGTATTTATTATATTGCCCATATGTAAACCCAAGTCACAAACAGACACATTGTCACAAATAAAAAATAAAAAAAGAGTTTAATTTTAATTTACATTAACATTAAAAAAAGATGGATAAGACAAAAAAATAAAGCTACAATGATCATTATAACCTGCATTAGCATTAGGGATGGGATGAATATTATTTGGATTTTTAAAAATGGCTGAGAGGAATCAGCTTTGTTTTAACATGTTATTTATCAAATAATTAGTTGATCATGAACATCTTACTGTACTCCTTTTAAGTCACCAAACTAAAAAAAAAAGACTATAGTGAAAAAAATAATTAAATGCCCTGATAGAAATACAGTACAGATGAATAAAATACCTGATATACATTTCTCAAAGCAAAAGAGTGTCACCTTGTGGACAACAGTTCTAATTTCACTTGTAATTAAATTCTAAAACATGCATCATGTGGGAATGGATACAGTGTAAACTGGAGCTCTACAAAAAGTTCCCCGAATTCGTGTCCTTTCTGACAGACATGTTTGAATTATTAGTATTAATGTTAGAGCTGGGCATATTAAAGGTTGAATAAAGTCCACTTTCTTTCCGCATGAAGGTGCCGTACGGCTCAATGTCTTGCAGCTCCTGCAGAAAGACATATGAATAAAAATAATGAAATTTATATGAGCTACACAAATGAAGAAGGTTTAATATTTTCCTGTCCATTACCTGGTTTGGATGACTGCTCTGTGGCCCTAGTTGTGTTCTGCTGTTTAAAATGACAAACAACAATGCAGTTAGTGAATCCTGATGTTTATTCACACACAGTGCTTTTTGTAGGCAAGACAGGAAATGAAAGACCATGTCTTCCTGTAGTGCCTCATATGAAACTACAAGTCAAGATGTTGACATTAATGACTGCTGTGCATTTACAGTCATTCAAAATGAGATAAACACGTTGCAACAAGTGATATTAAAAGAGATGACAAACAAAACTAGTTAAAATACTTGACTTTCAAAGTTATAGCAGTTGGTCAGACAAGACCAAATATTGTCGCTGAAGTCGCTGCATGTAAATTAACCTTCGTTCACCTCACTGGATGTAGCCATATTGTTTCAGCCGCCTACAATGACTGGCTGGCCGAGTCCAATTAACATACTGATCAACAGGAAACAGAGTTCAGCACACAGGGGGCGCCGGCTGTGACTGTTACAATTACAACACTGCTACTATTACTTAAATAAAAGATCTCTGTACTATTTTTAGCTTCTCAGTACTTCTTTTTAACTTCTTAAGAGGCTAAAAATAGCAGGAGAAGTACTAAGATCTTTTATTTAAGTAAAAGTAGCAGTGTATATATTGTCCCCAACAACAGACTGTAGAAAAGGACCAAAAATAAAAAAGTACTCTTTATTCAGAAAGGCCCCGTTCATAATCAAACATTAGGCTATATTATATATTATTAGAGTATATTATATTATTATATTATAATTATTGGTACATTAATGTTGAAACATCACTTTAAGTATTGCAGATGGTAGAGGTAGGACTAACTAACTACATTATAAACTGATGGGAAGGTTAATTGATAATCTTACATCATAATTTATTAGTTAATTGTATTTTTTACTAATAATTTGAATCTGCAAAGTAGATTTCCCTTTCAACTGTAGAGGAGTAGAAGCTGAATGTAGCATTAGAGGTAAATATGCAAATAAAGGATAAGTATGTCCACCACTCAATGTTATTAACTTATAAAGCATTCCTATAAATTTATGAAAAACAATAACTATGGAGATTACAGTAGTGTCTCACCCATGATGTATTCTTCTGTGGATAAATCCCAGGATAACTCCAGTTATAATGAGGACTACAGTTACAGCAGTCAAAGCACTTGGGATCAGCCCTCCTGGGTGACTGCTGACCTCTTCCTCCTCTGAATGTATAGAATCGGAATCTGTCAAAATGTCAAAAAGCAAACAAACAAAAAACATGCATTTGTCCTATTTGTAAAGAGTCTGCTCCACACAGAACCATGTACTATTACTGAAGTCTGCTAATCAAAGCTAACAAATCAGCCAAATTAATGCATGCTTTGATTAGCCTGTAAACTACAGACATCATTCTACCACGGTAACAGTGTGAGGAAAACATAAATAAAATGTGCTTACCCTCCACAATGATACTGAGATGGACAATATTTGTTCCACCATCATATGCACACTGACAGGAGTAGTTCCCACTGTCCTCTGGTGTTAAACTGTTCAGGTGGAGTAATATAGTCTCATTGTCTTTCTTAAGTGTGAACCTGGAGTCACAACTACTGTTAAAGCTCTGTCCATGTCGATACAGTAGACGACACTGTTCTCCTCTGCTCCTCTCTGTCTTGATGTTACATACTATCAGTACGATGGGTGTAGTATTACTGCATAGTGGAGTGACATCTGGTTTGCTCCCCAGGGTTTTCTCAAGAGTCACTGCAATCAATCAATCAATCAATCAATCAATCAATCAATCAATCAATCAATCAATCAATTAATCAATAAGAAACACAGTCAGTAAGTTAGCAGTAGCACTTGCTGTCTTTAGGTATTTGGTTTAAACTAATGTGATTTAATATTCACTAAAGACAAAGGTTATTCAAGAGTAATGACTTGCATCAATTTGACTTTATGAAAACTAAAAGGGATTTTCTGTACAGTACCTTCGCTGTCAAAACACACAGTTAGTGGCAGAAGAAGAACAAAGAACAGAGTCCATCCATCCATACTGGTCGTGAAGCAACTGCTGCTGGTAGTGCACAGTGTACTGCACTGATGTTAGGAGGACAGACACACTACTTTGCACTGTTCTCTGGTTGCCTAAACCTCAAATTCTCAGCTCTCACTGACGTATGAGCTGATGTGAACTCTTCTAAAAAGGAAGTGCTTCTATAGGCTTCTGCTTTCATATTAATACTCTCTAAAGGTACAACAGTCAGCGACCTTTTAATAACTTTAATTGTCTTTTGTGGTGAAGAGTTAACATTGGTCACAACATTATTAATGTCAAAAAACTGCTCATGAATATGTTACATGTGCTTCAGGTCCAGTCACATGTTCTGAATTACAGTTGGAGCTGGATCCACTGAGAGCCTGTATCAAGTATTGCCTGCACAGGTCTTGCAATGTGTAAGTTCAGTGAGAGTGGAACATCACGTAGCATGCTAAAACAGAGATGTTTGATTTTGTGGTCATCACATATTGACAGGCCTGAGCTTAAAGTGTAAATAGAGCTGCATGGTCTCTTCAGCTCGTCGCAATTTATGTCCCTCACACCAGTTATAACTTGACACAACAAGAATACACAGCACCAAGTGACTTAACTTTGTTCAAATGAAGATTTCAGAAGTGATTAGAAACTTGTCCCTGACCCAGATCCTTCTCTTCATATAGTTTTAAAGGTCCCATGTTTTACACTTTCACTTTTCCTGTTTTATTTTAAGCGTTGATGCATAAGAAGATATATTTGTTGTTTTTAGAACCAAAAACCATCTCAGTGTAGTTTAACATCTCCTCTCTCAAGCTTCTCTCTTGAGCTCTGAGCCTCTCTTCTGATTGGCTGACTGTTTTCTGAGTGATCTAATAAAAATATAGCAGATTTCAGGTAAACACTCAGAGAAACCAAATCCTGCAAGGTTGGATGGTGGGTCCAGGTGGGCGGAGCTTGGGGCATGGCTGAGGGCGGTAACAGCTTTGTTGTGACACCACAAAGTTCAGGAAGTCTTGACAGCTTGTTTAAGGCTCAGTTTTCTGAATACAGGCTGTGTGCATTTCTCTGTGGTCAGAGCGCTTTGATACTTTCACAGTATTAATATAGAACCTAGACCTGCTTTATAATCAAAGAAGACATGGAAACTTCACTTTATACAATATGGAAGCTTTAATCAAACATTCACATGATGCATAATATTCATATTGACCTGACATCAGGTTGAAATGTTTTCATAGATTTTGCAACTTGAATCAGTGTCTCTTCCATCTATTTCTGATCATCCAAGTGGACAGTCACTACACATTGCTTCCTGATCTTGTCATGTTGGTGTCTCGTTGACGCTGAATTGAGGAGATAGTTTCATATAGTTCATCTGTTGGCTGCTGAAGGCTCATGTAGGGCTCATCTGGGTCTTCTTGGTCCTAGAAAACAAATAATAATGCATCATGTCAGACTGCTGGTGTCAGGCATTTCAGTAAAATCATCAGTGAATGATAACAGGCTGTTTGCCACTGATCTGGAATTTCATGTGTGCGTCTTCTACTGTCGAAATTAATACAAACATTAAACTAGCTGCTTTCCCAGTTTAAAGGTGTAGAACAAAAGAATACATTACTCACCACACAGCCAGGAGTTTCATTTACAGATAATCCAGATGTGATCGACCATGAACGGACTCTTTAAATAAGATGGGATAGTTAATGAAACACCAGATATGCACATGTGCATGCACAAAAAAAGTAAAGCTTATCTATGTCTTTTAGAAAACTTTAAAACAATAATAAAAAATAATTGTCAGAAAAAGGAGCATAATCATGAATATTTGCATTAATAAATATTTTCACTTTATCTGCCAGTACTCAACTATGAATTATCGAAAAATAAATTGATAAACAAACCTTTTGGTCTTGTGTATAAATCCCAGAATAGCTCCAGTTATAATGATGACCACAGCTGCACCAGTCAAAGCACATGGGATGAGGATTTCTGTTGAACTGCTGAGCTCCTCATCCTCTAAAGCACGTAGAAGAAAAAGATTACTCAAAAAATGACTCTGATCTTTGATTTATATATTAACATTATGACTTTTTTGTTTTAATAAAATCAATTCATGACATAATTTTAATAATGTTTTATATCTACACATTATCTCACATGCAGCTATGATTATAGCATGTAATTAAACATTCCCTATCTACACTTTTTTTCATATGTACAGTAAGTGCAGCCATCATGTTGCTATTGAAATTTGTCATAACTTTAACAATGCAGTGGAAAATTACCAATTTACACTGAGCCACTGCTTACCTTCTACTGTGATGCTGATATGCAGCTTAAATGTTCCACCAGCGTTCGCACACTCACAGGAGTAGTTCCCACTGTCCTCCGGTGTTAAACTGGTCAGGTGGAGAAATACAGTCTGATTCTCTGTCATAAGTGTGAACCTGGAGTCACAACTATTGTTAAAGTCCTGTCCATATATATACTTCAGTTGACACTCTTCTCCTCTGCTCCTCTCTGTGGTGATCCTACATATTATCATTATGAGCTCATGCAGTGTATCATTGGCACATATTGGAGTGGCATCTGGTTCTCTGCCAATGGTTTTCACGAGCAGCCGAGTCTCTGCAATCACATAATTGAAATCAAAAATCAATATCATATGAAATAGTCAATGAGTGCTTACTGATTTCTTGCACATGTAAATGCCTGACAAACTTTTTAACTGCAATGAATAAGTAAATTATACAAACATATTGTGTTACTCCTTTAAAACCAAAGACATAATGAACAACAGAGAACAATGTGTTACATGAGCTATGCATAAAGAGGTTTCTGTACAGTACCTTGGCTGTCAATATAAAAAATGAACGGCAGAAGCAGAAGAAAACACAGTTTCCATCTCCCCATACTGGTCAAGACTTCTAAGCAAGAATATGGTTTATTCCTGAGGGTTTTTCAGAGTCACTGCAATCAATCAACATTTAATAAGTTAGCAGTAGCACTGTTTTTAGGTGTTTGGTGTAAACTTATATGGACAAAGACGAAGATTATTCAAGAATAATGACTTGCATCAATTTGACTTATGAAAACTAAAACTGTACAGTACTTTTGCCGTCAGAACAAAGCAGAACAAAGAACGGACTCCATCCACCCACACTGGTCATGAAGCAACTGCTGCTGGTAGTGCACAGTGTACTGCACTGATGGGACACACTACTTTGTACTTTTCTCTGGTTGCCTAAACCGCAAACCCCCACTCTCACAACATTTTAGCTGATGAGAACTCTTCTAAAAAGGAAGAGCTTCTACAGGCCTCTGCCTTCATATTAATACTATCAAAAAGTAAAATAGTGACAGTGTTTGAGTAGCTAACTCTTCATTTATTTATTTTTATGAATGACATAAGCAAACATATTTCTTGCATAACAATGAGCAGGATAAAGTAAATAGTGGGCTACACTCTTTTAAACTCACTGTTAGGAAAAGCATTAATAGCTAAATGTGATTCTACCAAACCTCAGAGGGGAGGGGGACAAACACAGACACAACCCTTTTGCTCCCTAAACCACAAAACGACCTAAAATACCTCATAGGTCTGTGAGCTTGTGCTAAGCAGGAAGTGTTATATTTGACTACATCTACTTTGAAGTACTTTTAAGACCCCAGAGGCCAAAGGTTTAAGAGAGAGTAGACAGCAGAGAGACGACAGGAAACACCAATGACAACTAACACACCACTCACAAAGCTGATACAGGGATGTCTATGCATTGGTGGGTGTTAATACCACTGGTGGTTGCATAAGTGAGTCTGACGCAGGACACTTCAGTCTAAATATAAAAAATAATTCATCTCCGAGCGTCACAAAATGCAATTATGATCGCTACATTTGCGCTGACAATCTAAATTGCTTCAGCCACCCTCATTCTTCCTGTCATGTAATTTGGATAGTTGGAGAAATCAGGACAACTCAGACAGACGAAGATAATCTGTGACAAGAAAAAATAAAAGCTCAGATGTGTTTTTTGCCTTAACTTAGCTGTTTTGTTGGTTTGTGTCAAAGCATCAAGATTCAAAGACTTAAAATACTCATATTCCTCACTATGTGAAATGAGTGGTTGTCACACTCACAGCATGTATAATAAAAAATGATAAAATACCCCACTGCTGGGCCTCTCTTTAAATCGATGTATGTGCCAGAGAGGTAAGAAGGCACCTGCAACATCATGGAGGCGGCTGAGAAAGCCTCATGGTAGACGTGTTAGTACAGGAAGTGACAGGTCAAACTGACAACTCACGTTCACGCTCAAAAAAACACCTTGAAACACGACTGTGTACATCACTTATCATACATCTGAAAGCATTGCAGAGCTTGTGTATATTATTTGAATTCACATAGAAATCCTTATATGTCTCATGAAAATACATGAGATATTTGTTTTAAATATAATCTAAAACATATAGTTACATATCTGAATATTCTGGATTTGCAGGTACAAAACAGTGGGCATCAAAAGAACAAATGCAAATTTTGTTTTAACTATTATTTTGTAATAATTAATATATTAAAATATATCATATTTTTAGGCAGTAAAATGCTCTCATGCCTTTAAGAATATTAAATTTACAAAAGGGAATTTAACATTTTAAAAGGACAAATGAGTGAGTGAAATAATGGCAAAGTAAAATAGTTTCCTTATGGACAGCAGGCCCAGTTTCACTTGTTAATCAATAGAAAAACATGCATCACATAGCGGTAGGTATTGTATAATGGACGCTGTATAAAGGAATTCCCAAATCTGTGTCATCTCTGCACACATCTAACACATCTGAATTATCAGCATCAGTTTTAGTGTATCATGTGTTTCTGTACATCATGGTGACTGAGTAAAGTTCATTCTCTTTCTGGATGAAGGTGCTGTACGGTTCAATGTCTCCCGGCTCCTGCAGAAGAACACAAGAGTTCAAAAAAATGTTTCTGAGGTGAAAAGACGGAAAGTACAGTAGGTACCAGCATTTTGGTGTACAGTACCATGTTTACGTGGCTGGTCATGGGTTCTAGTTGTCTTCTGCTGGGTAACAACAAACAAAAACATTTCATTACAAAAATTCTTTATTTGCTCCACCACCTCAAATTGTGTAGGAATAAAATTGTACTATATCATTATATAATAACATAGAATAGTTGTTATAGAAATATGGTGCCCACAAAGACACTCCCATACAGTATATACAAACACACTGTTATCCGAATAGTGCATACAGTGTGCTAGAAGCTTATACAAAGAACAGAATTACAGAGCCATCACTGGTTCTACAGCGCCACCATGTGAGGACCACCCTGAAGAAGGTGAATGCTAACAAAACGGCAGGCCCAGATGGAGTGCCAGGTCGGGTGCTGAAAGCATGTGCAGACCAACTGGTAGAAGTGTTCACCAAGGTATTCAACAACTCCTTAGAACTGTCTGCTGTCCCATCCCGTCATCCCAGTACCCAAAACAACATCTGTGAAGTGTCTGAATGACTATCGCCCAGTGGCCTTAACACCGATAGCGATGAAGTGCTTTGAGAAACTGGCGCTGTCCAACATCAGATCTAAATCCCGCCTGACCTGGATATGCATCAGTTTTTTCCTATGAGGCAAACTGCTCCACAGAGGATGCAATAACCACCGCTCTTCACACTGCTCTGACACACCTCAAGGAGCCAAACAGTTATATGAGGATGCTATTCGTGGACTTTACCTCAGCATTTAACACGTTAATCCCACAACAACTTGTCAGCAAGTTGAACAATCTGGGCCTTGGTTGCTCGCTGTGCTCATGGGTTATGGACTTTCTCACAGACCACCCACAGCAGGTCAGAGTCGAGAGACACACCTCTTCCACCATCATCCTGGACACAGGAACCCCACAGGTTTGTGTTTTGAGCCTAATGCTGTTCACTCTCCAACTCAATGATAAAATTTGCGGACGACACAACCGTTGTTGGTTTGATCGCTAACAATGATGAGACGGCCTACATCTGGCCGAGTGGTGTAAGGACAGCAACTTGGTCCTCAACACCTCAAAGACCAAGGAGATGATAATTGCCTTCAGGAGAACAGGAAGCCCACCCCACCCTTCACATTTATGGAGAAGCAGTGGAGTGTGTGGACAGGCTGAAGTTCCTTGCAGTCAGTCTGATAAACCATAAGTATGGACGTCCAACACCTCAAGCCTGGTTAACAAAGCTCAACAGAGACTGTTCTTCTTGAGGAAACTGAAACAAGCCAAGCTCCCTCAGAAGCTGCTGCTGAATTTCTACAGGAGCGCCGCTAAGAGCACCCTTACAAACTGCACAACTGTGTGGTATGCCGGCTGCATAGCTGCAGAGCGGAAAGACCTTGCAACGTGTGGTGGAGACTGCTCAGCGCATTGTGGGGATGAAGCTCCCACACCTTGATTGTATTTAAACCACCCGCCTGAGAAAGAAGGCCAGCAGCATTGCCACAGCCTCTACTCACCCCGGCAACCCACTGGTAAACGGTTCAGAATAAGGTCCTGCACAAATAGACTGACGAACAGCTTCTTCCCCTGAGCAGTGGCTTCCATCTTCCCCCACAACTCCCCCAACGATGACAGTAAATCAGACTGATTTTTATTGTGCTGTTATTGCAGAGATGCCACTTGAAGTTTTGCTATACTTTGTATAATGACAATAAAGACTATTCTTTTGATTAAATAAAAATAACAGACAGAATTAGCCTTAAGCGCTATTGATGTAACACTTAAAGCTATTATGCTTTGCTAAAGATTATTTTATTCTCTATGAGCACGATATTCATCTCTTACCCATGGTGAAGTTTTCCGTAGATAAATCCCAGGACACCTCCAGTTATAATGAGGAATATAATTACACCAACTCCAACATAAGGGAAGGGTATTTCTGTAGACCTGCTGATGCTTTCATCCCCTTTAACCATAGAAAGAAAAAAACAAAGTCAGAAAAGCAGCATTGGTATCGAACAACTATAATTGGGGAGCAGTTTGTGTGTGTGTGTCAATGAATCTGCTCAATCTAGGGAGCAGCAGTTTGAAGGAACTTATTTCTGAGGCCTTTCAAACGGTCCTTCCCTTCTTTTTTCCCTTGCACCTCAACTGTGTGATACAGGGTAAAACTGTGGAGACTTCAGTACAACTTTGCATCTGTTTTCTATTGAAATAGACAGTCTGCGTCTTTCCTAAAAAAGAAGTAACAGCACCATTTGCGTTGTGGAAACACCAAACACATGATATTTGTGTGTAGTACCGAATCTCTAGAGAAGTCAGGTAATAATTTTGTAGTACTTTGTTGATTTGCCGTTAAGATGCTAATAACGTAGCTACCTATCTACCTAGCTTGGCATATATTACAGATGTTGGTAAACAGTCAAAAATGATTGAAAATTGGATTTTTGGTAAGTATGTTGAGTTTTGTTTTGTTTGTTTTTGTTTGGATGAAATACATATTCTAAACCCTGTCGTTTATTTATATTGGACATTGGAATTTCCTTTATTTCCCAGCCACCCGAGTGACTAAACTCACAAAAAAAAGAAAATAAATCAGTCACTTACCTTCCACAGTGATGTTGATATGCAGCTTAAATGTTCCACCAGCGTTTGCACACTCACAGGAGTAGTTCCCACTGTCCTCCGGTGTTAAACTGGTCAGGTGGAGAAATACAGTCTGATTCTCTGCCATAAGTGTGAACCTGGAGTCACAACTATTGTTAAAGTCATGTCCATATATATACGTTAGTTTACACTCTTCTCCTCTGCTCCTCTCTGTGGTGATCCTACATATTATCATTATGAGCTCATGCAGTGTATCATTGGCACATATTGGAGTGGCATCTGGTTCTCTGCCAATGGTTTTCACGAGCAGCCGAGTCTCTGCAATCACATAATTGAAATCAAAAATCAATATCATATGAAATAGTCAATGAGTGCTTACTGATTTCTTGCCTATGTAAATGCCTGAAAAACCTTTTAACTGCACCAATAAAGAAATGACCAAACATATTCTGTTACTCCTTTAAAGCCAAACAAATAATGAATTACAGAGAACAATGTCTTACATAAGTTACACATAGAAAGAAGTTTCTGTACAGTACCTTGGCTGTCAATATAAAAAATCAGCGGCAGGAGCAGAACAAACCACAGTTTCCATCTCCCCATACTGGTCAAGACTTCTAAGCAACAACGCAACTGCTGCAAGTAGTATACAGTATACACTGGGGGTTAGGCACACCCCTTTCCACCAATCTTCAGCGACCTAAACCTCAAGCTTGCACTGAGGCATCAGTTAGTGCGAGGTCTGTTAAAGAGGAAGTTTAAGACATTACTGCTGGTGCTTTCATGTTAACACAGAATGAGAGAGAAAAGTGCATAAAAACACACTGACATAACATATGCAGGCTGAGAATTATGCCCACTTTCATGTAAGACAATGTGACAACCTTCACCGTCTTGTTTGGTGAAATTCAAGGACAAAAGTCAGTGTGACTGTCAGCTGTGAGTGTTTACGTCACAGGGCAACACGTTTGCATCAGTACAGAGGTGGCAGGGAGAGTGTTAAGAATATTGTGCAATGCAGTCAATACAAGACAATTAAGTCTACTCAATAGTCTGGATTGATTATTTTGACTTTAACGCTACACATGGCTAGGTTTCCAGGACACTGAAACTTAGTAAAAGACATTATATTAAAAATTCCTATATTGCTACATAGTCGATGTTAGCATTAACAGCTGTTTACTTACCAGCCTGGTGGAAACATTTTGAGTTCAGAATCAAACTTCATTCCTTTATTCACTAAGAGCTTTCTCCAGAGGTCTAAATCAACCCTCTTATTTCGCTTCTATTTCTATCACTTCCTTTCTTCTACTGTAGTTAGCAGCCCCGGGCCCATCCGTCTCAACAGTGAGTCACTATAGGATGAAAAAGCAGCCCTGCTCAGAGAGCATATAATAACCTCTTGTTAACGCAAAGATGGCTGAAGCTCTTGGCAAGCAACCATAATCACCACCACCGCCACTCGCTCCAAGCAAGAAACCCTATTTGGTAGCAGAATAAAAACTTACATATAGCACCTTTAAAGACAATTGTACAGACATAAACAGACTGGCTGAAAACATTAAAACTGTTTTGGAAATTAAATGTTTAATCATCATATGTATATTTTTGCATTTTTAAACAATATTGTACATCATCATTTAGAATTCATAGAGAATTAACTACTTTGGTCATTTGAAAGTAGAATCAGTGCTATGTAAGCAAGTCAGAATGTCCATATGCAATATTTTGTAAATGGGATTACATGCATCATCTTCATCTTAGTTCTCGATAGTTTCGTAGACTGTGTAATCTGGGTGTAAATCCTTCTCTTTTCCATCTGTTTCCTGATTATTAAAACTGTTAGCTGGACCTGCTTCAGTATCATGATAACGGCAACTTGAGGAGATAGTGTGGTAGACATCACTGGCTGGCAGCTGAAGGCTCGCATAGAGATCATCTTGGTCCTGACAAAACAAATCAGCATTTTATATATCGCACCTAAAATATAATTGCATGTAGTTGAAAACAATAGGTGATGTGTCGGCATTACAAAACGTTGAGAAGAATTACAAAAACAGAACTATGTAGCTCTTACCAAAGAGAAGGGAGTTTCAGATCTGGTTAGTGCAGATGCTCCTGATCTTGTGTTTTCTCTGTTAGCACAAATGAATGTCAGAGTTAGTAGGGGCCTCTGTACTATCACAAAGGGAACTGCAGTCGAGCAAACTATTTATAGAACAAATGAAAGTGCGTGATTGTTTTCAAAGAAACCAAAACCGAGTGACACGCTGATTGGAGCAATATGCTCAATGAGAGTAAAGAGAGTATGAGGACATCGTGCTGCTACAGTACACCACGGCACTACGACACACTAAAAGTGAAGTATTAAAGCATTTGGTCAAAGTTTTTCACCTGTGATGATTTCCTCTCTGGGTCTGATCACAGATGATCCCAGCCATAATGATGAACATGGCAAGAATGATAATGGCGATGACGAGTGAGGCAATGAACCTCATGCCAGAGAAAGTTCCCTCCTCTCCACCTGCTGTCACACAGAAAGTCAGGACAGTCTGTATTTCCACGCCACAATATCTTGCAATTTTGTGCGAACTGCTCCGATTAGCGAACACGCTCACCTTCAACAGTGATATTAAGATGGACAACATGTGTTCCTCTTTTATATGAACACTCACAGGTGTAATTCCCACTGTCCGTCGGTGTTAAATTATTTAGTAGGATAAATATAGAATAATTCTTGCTTAGCAACATGAACCTTGAGTCGCATTTATAGTCAGACTGCTTGTCACCTGTATACAGCAGGCAACACTCATCCCCCCGGTGTGTCTCTGTGTTGATCATACATTTCACTAATATAATGACACCTAACTTTGCACTGGTGCACACAGGAGTGATGTCTGGGTCTCTGCCGACGGTTTTCACAACACTCACTGCAATCAAAAGGAAACAGGCTTTCAGTGCATCACATTTTACACTCGAGCTGCGTTACAATAGTCAGAGTAGATAAATCTTATGTTATGTAAAGAAGGTTTTTGTACTGTACCTCTGCTGTCAACACACGCACACACGGGCAGAAGCAGAACAAACAGCTGTTTCCATCCATCCATACTCGCTGAGAGATCTTAAGTGGTGCCAGCAAAGTACAGGACGCTGTTCTACAAAGACGACCAACGCAGCTCTCCGAAATGTTCTTTTACTGTCCACGTGAAAAAACCTCAAACTCTCTTCTTATAAAGGTAGAGTAGAAGCTGAAACAGAAGTGAACCCTGACTGCTTCTACTTTCAAGTCACCATGCAACAGTAGCTTCTCTGGGAAGCAGTGTATTAATCCAGATGGGTAAAACAATGCAACGGTGCATGAATGCAAAGAGAAACTCTCACTTGCATGTAAGAACTTGTTGAACTTGGTGAAATGTGTTTGGGAGTAAAATCGGACAGTGGTCCAAACAGCTGTCATCTTTAACAGAGCATGAGAGCTTAAAGTCTTCATTTTTTTTAATTCATTGTAGAAACTTTATTTGTTTAAATACACAAACACTCAAGAATTTTCAATTGATATAAACATCAGGGAAATTTAGCAACATAGTACATCATTCTGTGTAGTGTAGTGTAGCATACAGCATTTTTCACATTTACTTTATAGTATTTCTGTAAATTATTACTCCTGCAATTATTTAATTAAGAACATCATTCTGGGTAACCTAAAAAAAAATATCCCTCAGCAACTTGTTAAACTAGTCTATTAATAAAAATATACAGTATTTTGGCTGAGACCAGCAGATGCTCTGGGGCACGAAGATATCACAGTTATTTTCACTGTTGGTTTAGATGGTTTCATAGATTTCACAGCTTTGACCAGTGTCTCTTCCATTTGCTTCCTTTTCCAAATGGACAGTCACTGATCTGTTTCTGGCTGAATTTGCCTTGGCGTCATGTTGATGGTGCATCGAGAGGAAGTTTTGGTAGATATCACTTTCCCGTTGCTGAAGGCCCATGTAGGGGTCATCTGGGTCATCTTTGCCCTATGAAAGCATATCAATTAAGGGTCTTTGGTTTCTTATCCCATTAGAAAAAATTGGTATTAATTAGGTATAATTAATCAAACAATTATTTACAATCAAAAAAAAAATATATATTGTCATATCAGAAAGTGGTACCTAAAATCTTAACGTATCATGTTGTATAAGTCTGAAAAGGTTGACACATAGTATGGAGAAAGTAAAGTCAAACTGAAAACTGAGCTTTTCATGTCCTAATATTCCGCTAACTCAGTTCCCCTAACCTCACTCATCTAAAAACACCTTTGTCTCTTTTCCTTAGCATGCACACCCTGTGGCTATTCAGATTATATAATACATGCAGAGAAGGTTAGGAGCATAATTACTTAACATTAAAATGTTTAACAGCATCTCAGAGACAGCCACTTCCGTTCATTTTAACACTTTTTGCCACATGTGAAAAAGTTTTCACAGCATTCTCTGCCGAACTGAGACATTGAAATGGCGTGACAACCAAAAAAAGAAAGAGAATGGGGGGGACTTGGTGGCTTAGCCGGAATTGAAACAAGTCTTACAGGACATGCTACTAGGCAAGCACGTTGACTTTCCACTGAGTGTGTTCTCTTCTCAGCAGACATCTTACACGCAGTTCTGGTAAATCGACGACTGATGGCCGCAGTAATTTGGAATATATCCATCTACTGCTGCAAAGGTTATTGTGTGAGATCAGCAGCCAAATAACTAGAGCATTTGCTACTTACTAAGTTGGAAGGTATAAAATAAAAAATACATACCTTGCTCACCAAAGAGCAGGCGGTTTCACATCCATATAATCCAGATAGTCCTGCCCTTGTATGGTTTCTGAAAATAAGGAAAGAAGAGAAGAATATCAGAGTTACATCAGTGGATATCAGGATAACCTATACAAATAAAATACTTCAACCACAAATTGAAAATTAAGGCCCCTTCTTAGTGCACGAATCCCTAGTTCTGACTATTAATTTTAAAATACAGTACAACCTCAAAAATAACAACAGATCACTTGGACACTGACAATGCTGTCTTGGAATGAAACAACAAACACAAACTTTCCATTGCTGCTATTAAACTGTTGAGTATCCTAAATTCCAGTGCTTTACCGACTACCTATGTTAAAAATATGAAGTAAGAATTTTCACCTGCAACGTTTTTTCCTTATCATAAGTCCAAGGACAACTCCAGTAACAATGATCAATGCAGCAGCATTACAAATCACAGTGGTCAAACTGAGCACTCTTATAGGAGAAGTGCTCGCCTTCTCATCTCCTGAGTAAGAAAGACACAAAAAGCAAAAAAAAAAAAACATGTTAATACTTGCATCGTCTCTGAAACTATTTTTTTTTATCTGTACCACTTCATTCTAAGTTGGATTTTATTTTGCATATCAATATTTAGCAATAAATACAGTTAGTACAGTACCGTTCCCTTTAATAGCACATCTGACATTTGTATGGTCTCCATTTTACATCTGCATACATTAGTAAAGATGCTGTATGAAAGTTTTCCCTGCTACAGAATGTGGTTTCTTGCCAGTAGTGTGTGGTGGTTACGGTCGCTTGTTCACAGCTTCATTCATCATCGTGCTTACAATACAATCATGCTATCATAAAGTGACAACTTTACTTCTAGACTGGTAAGTAAACAGCTGTTAATGTAGCAATGGCACTTAGCACTTACTTACAGTCAGTGCTAATGTTACTAGTAACTAGTGCTGTCACGTGTCCTGGTTTGCTGTTGGTTACTCTGTGAAGCACGACTAATTCATTCAGCTGAAGCAGGTAAATAAATCAAACATTTACCTTCCACAGTGATGCTCAGATGAAGAAAATCTGTTCCATGAATATGTGAACACTCACAGGTGTGGTTCCCACTGTCCTCTGGTGTTAAACTGGCCAGTTGGAGAAATACAGTCCGATTGTCCGTCATAAGTGTGAACCGGGAGTCACAGCCATTCTCAAAGTCATGTCCGTGTTGATACAGCAGACGACACAGTCGTCCCCTGCTCCTCTTTGTGCTGATCTCACATACTATCAGTGTGATGAATTGCAGTGCAGCAGTCGTGCACACTGGAGTAACATCTTGTTTCCCCGCAATGGTTTTCACAATATTCTCTGCAATCAGAGGAAATATTTAAAATCTTTCAATCTTTCAATCGTTGTAGTTTTTTTTTGACTGCACTTGAGAAGGCTACTTCAAGGAAACTAAGAAAGGAAGTACTTGACAGAGATAAGCTGTATCTGATGAAAAGCTGCTGTACAGTACCTTCAGTGGCAACACACAAAGACACGGGGAGAAGCAGAACCAACCAAGGTTGCCATTGATCCATAATAGCAGAAAGGTCCAAACAACAGTGCTGCTGGCAGAAAACTATATCGAAAGGAGCAGGGTAAGTAAGAAAAGGAAGTAGCATGACCACTTGTATTTCCTGTTAAAACTCTCTGTGATGGATGTTGGGTTTCCTTGAAAAGCATCAATTTCAGATAAAGCACCATGTTGAACGAAAGAAAAAGAAACATTTATACTGTACATATAAAAAGAAAAGATAAAACGTACTTCAACAGATTTCAAGAACTTGCCTGAAGAACGTCAGATGGCTTCAAATTGTTCATTTTTTGAAGGAAAAATTGACAAATAAAAATTAAATAAATTACATATTACAATGATATGAGGCCAAACAGTTATTTAATGACCGGAAATTATTTTCCAACGTTATGGAATTTATAACAAGTCCAGTATGAACGATAAAGATAAACAGACGGTAATTTGTTTCTATATAAAACATCCAAGTAAGTATGAAAATTGCAAATGCTGAGCATCATAAATTCAAGGATGTTGTGGTCAAAAATTATTGCATTGAGGGCAGATGTCTTTTTTTCCTGTTTTTAGGAACCAACAGAGTTACAGAGGCTCACTGTGTTAGTATCATTAGTCAAAGAATGAGTCATATGGGAAATAATAAGATATAAATGACAGGCCATCTACACAACATAAAAAAGTGGCATGTTTTATGGCGGATCCCTGATATACAGCAGTCTATTATCATCTATTTAAAGAAAGCACTCTAACAACATCAATAGCTTCTTTAACATGGATCCTAAGACACAGATTTATAGACGAACAGTCAACCCTTTCCTCTTTCCTGCCTTACCGACTCCCCAATTAGTGATTTGGAGGATGAGAATACATCTTTTGTTTGTCTTTCTCAGGCCAAAGCTCAGTTCCTCAGCTGGACTATAAATAGACGGGACTTAAGCAAAACTAAAAAAGATCCTGACAAAAACTGAAAGTAGACAGGCTGGCATTCAGAAAGAGTTGAATAGATGCAGGTTTACGGGATATGGAACCACATAAAACAGGTCACCAAAGATGCAGATCAACACTGACTTTTTTTGTTGTTGGTGGTCAGGGCTCTACGTTTCAAGGTTGCGGTTGAAACGCAACAAGTATACATTCAAGTAAATGATGAATGAAACTAGGCTGAACATTCCTCCACCACAGTCATGAGACAAGCAAGAAAATGATGTGTGTGAAGCAGCATAGTCCATTAGCTACGGTACATAACATAGTGTCATTTCTGTGGCCAGCCACCATTACTAAACATCTCAGTATCTCGGTCTCAGTATCAGTTAGTGGGTGACACTTTAACCTAGCTAACAGAAAGCAAAGTGCCACATCAAATATATTGCAGCTGCTCCACATGACTGTGAGGGATGCACACTGTGGCTTGTCAGCAGAGGGAGTAGTACACATATAGTTATAAATAAATAAAAAAAATAAAAATAAAAAACACTATCTGTAGGATATACATGTATAACCTACATATCCTGTTTAAACACCAGCACAACATTTCATTTCATTGAGATATATTTGTAGATTGATACTTAATTAATGCATCACTGATTATTAGTCAGAAAGTAATTTCTCATTACACTTGTGTAATTTCCACATTTTCAGCGTTTTGTATGAACTCTGTGACATTTCTGAAGCAGACTGAATTTATCTCCAGTCAGACTGACAAGGTGATAAACGCATTCTAAAAAATGCATTATGTGTTTGTGGGTGTTCACATACTTGTTCTGGCAGGGGGTCAATGTTGGTCTGGATGTCACCTCCGGAGACAAACCTCAGCTTGCTGGTGGTGTCTGTCTGAAGCCAGGTCCTCACCATCTTCCAAACAGCTACAGAGCAGGAAACAGATGACGAGCAGTAGTGGTTATGAATATACTGTGGCTTTAATATAACAGTTATCAATACATTTAATCTATTATTGCAGATGTAAATAAAAAGCAGCAATTACTCAACCTGGAGAATCATATTCCTATAACATCAATGTGTAAAATTAAAAAATGCATAACAACAACATGCATTACCCACATGACACTGCATATCACTAAGTTACATCTACATGGAGTCATATTCAAGGAAGCAATTCATGAAAATCCATGTCATGTAAAGGAGAAAATGATTACTTTATCTTTATACATTTCAAACAACACAGCGGGAAATGTGTTTTGAAAAGGCACATCTGTCTTTTTCCGTTTCCTCTGAAAGCTTTGCAGCCTTAAGCCAAATCGTGACCCAGATATACAGTCAAATATGTGTCACCATTCAACTATGCCCAACTATTCTTTTTAACACAACCTTTCCTAAAATATCCCAATGTCCTTGCTCACTTTATGTTACATTTTGTGTTTTGACAATTGCAAATATTGGCTTGCATGTAAAAAGGTTCGGCCTGTTGGGATTTCAGACAAAGTACAAGACTCTGAAATGACAATATCTTGTCAAATCTCGTTTGTTGTTTTTGTTTTGTGTAGCTGGAGTGAAACTGACATCTGTAAAATATAAATGATATAAATTTTACACATGACATAAAATATCACATGTCCCATGTTTATTCCCTTAATTCTTCCTTCTTGCTCTCTTTATCTTCCTGCCCAGTCTTTAATAACAAATAATACAGATTATATACAGATAATAGAGTTATTAGATAACACTATTAGAAACTTCAGTGAACAGATTGCCATTGTTTGCCTCATTTTTGTATTTCCTTGTTTAGAATAATAAATTAGCAGCTCTGTAATAGCTCTTTTACCTTTCTTCCTCTAACTCTTTCTCTCTTCTTCCTATCCAGTCTTCCTCTTCTCCTTCCTCTCCACTTTCCCTAAAGGGATGAAGAAGAAAAATCTTCAGATTTTATGTTTTTGTAGGAAAAAGTCATATTCCCCATTTACAATTTCTAACAACAATTTTCAAACAAGCAACAGTAACCCTCACACCTGTTGCATGTTAATTATTAAAATGATGCATTATATTTGTGGGTCACATGGTAGCCCACATCAAATTGTTTGCCTACATATAATTAACTTATCACCTGGTGGTACAATTCCTAAATCCCGTAACCCCACTTCTGATTCTCACCCTGGTTACGTCCTGGCTTCAAAAGACGTTTGTGCTGATGTTGTGGATTCACTTGAAACTTGCTTCTGAAAAACACAACAGTTTTTTGCAAGTACTTTATTTTGGTTTGTTTGTTTTTTTGTTTGTTTTTTTGTTGTTGTTGTCGTTGGTGTCTTCTTGTTTTTCCTTTGTTTTTCCTTTTTTTTCCTTTCTTCTTCTTCTTCTTCTTCTTCTTCTTCTTCTTCTTCTTCTTCTTCTTCTTCTTCTTCTTCTCTTCTTCTGCTTCTTCTTCTTCTTCTGCTTCTTCTTCTTCGTTTTAATGGCAACCTAGGAAGTAGTTAGTTGCAGAAGAAGAGCGATATGGAGCTGCTTCATTGACCCGGTAGCGCCCTCTGCTGGCCAAAATAAAAACAATGCGAGACTTCCAGCACGTCAGTTTTGCTTAAGGCAAGATAATAAACTACTTTTTCAACAACTTTTTTCTAAACTATTTATTTTAACGTAAAAATGACAGAAGGCCTATTGTTTGGCACCTTTTCATATCTATGGCATTTTACTGTAAAGAAATTTCACTTTTCAGACGCACTGTCAAATATGTGAATGTTTGCACAGTATCCACTGGGTGGCGCCACATAGCCGGCAGTTATTTTTGCTGTGGCGCAAAGGCTGCTGGGAAGTTTTCTCTCAGGAAGCAGCATGAGCAGATAAACAACCTGACATCCGACATCACAGAGGTAAATGTGTCCTAATGAGAGGCATTCTGCATGTAAATACACATTATAATATACATTTACGAATTGTGTATTAAGTCGTGTGGTGTTGTTCATTTATTGCTCGGTGAAAACATTGTTTTTGTTTTTTCAAGATGTCAGCATGTTCCCTCGTTGCTCTTAACGCATCAACAGTCGAGTTTTAGAGCTAGTTCACATTCACTTACGCAAACAGTGTTTAACCTTACTATGAAAGAGCTCTTACTCATGTCAGTTTATCTTTATTTGTTTGAATATGTTCATAAATTTCAGGCTTACGGATGGCTTAATGTTATCAGTTAGCAGGGAGATCCACAGTGGTGCAGGCATATCAACAAACATGGTAAGTAAATGGAGTCTTCAGCTTGGTGATAAGTAATGATACATCAAATCTGCACAGGGAATGATTTTATAGTTACATAGCCCCACTGTCATAGTCTCATGACCCTGTTGGGACATTTTACTTGTATGACACTGTGGTGCAGAGTTACTACCACAGCATGTGATAATTTAAATGCTTTTTTAAGTACCATCAGTGTGCAAAAGTGCTCAGTATACCTTCAAATTAATCTAAAACTAGCAGATTTTAAATAAAAAAAAAAAGTGAGACTACAAATAATATGAAACTAAGCCTAACAACTGATCTTTCTCATTGGCAGGAGGACATAAGCACAGTGATGTCCTGGTTTTCCAGCCCTGTGTACAGCCGTTATTGGCAGCACTACCAGCAGGCTATGGCCTGGCACCAGAAGCACAGGCGTGCCTACCGAAAGGCCCTGGAGGCTGCCTACGGCCCCGGTTACTGCCAGGAGCAACATCCCAGCAGGCACCAGCGCTATGCCGACTGGCACGCCGGAGAAAGCAACAGCGAGGATGGGGACGAGGGGAGCAGCTCGGACAGTGAGATCGAGTGTGACGTTAGCAACATGGAGATCAGTGAGGAGCTGCGGGAGTACTTCGCTGAGACAGAGAGACACAGAGAGGAGCTGAGTAAGAGAGCAGGGGGTGTAGGTGTTGGTATGAACAAGAGGGGCAACCATATAAAGAACTTAAAAAAGTTAAAGATTGTGACAGTACTGCCTTGCATACTGATTAGAGGCTCTCCAAACTTCTCCATCACTTAATCAATAATAATTTGCTTTGCCTTGCGATGCACAATTGTAATCATATATAAGAGTTTCTGTTTAAAGTGAAGAGGCTGTCTGCTGTGTCCAAAAATAATCTGTTTTCCTGTTCTTCCAGAGAAGCAGCAGCAGATGGAGGCCGAGCAGCAGGGCAGCTACGTGCCGGCCGACCAGGACCTGCACTGCGTCTCCTGGCGAAGCACCGCAGCTCCTCCGTCCGAGCGGCCCGGTGAGCGGCGCGGGGCCGAGATGAAAAAGCTGTATGGAGATGAGGCGGCCAAGATCCTGGCCATGGAGGCCGCAATGCAGCTCACATTCGACAGAAACTGTGACTTGAAGCAGCCAAAGTACTGGCCCGTTATCCCACTGAAACTGTAATAGCTGTGGGCAGGGCTGATTTAGAGGAGATCCCTTCCCTGATCTCTGAGTGAGACGGCAGCTTTGTCGTGTAATGGATTGTGGCTGATGAAGCTGCTGATGTAGCACTAATGGTTTGGGTTAGCTGAGGGTTACAAGTTATTTTAAGCTCTGAAAAGTTGCATAAATTAGCTGAGGTTCTGCTTAGCCAGACACAGATGTCACTGACCTTTCAGCTGCTGCTCCAAATGGAAACTTGCGGCTGTGATAGTACATGAAATGTTTTTAATTTACTGCATAAAAACACTAGCACATAGTACTGCCCCAGATTTCTAGAAGTTTTCTCAGCCCGTTGATTTTTAGGATAAAAACCTCAAAGCAAGTGTCAGCTGAGGGTCAGAGGTACAGTAAAACTGCCCCTGTAGGTGATGTAAATCAGTTAAACAACACTGTGCCTGCTGTTTCCTCATGATCTGTTTTTTGTCTACCCCCCAGCCCTGCTGATGTTTCATGCTGCAGCAGCTCCTCTTATGCCTGTCATCTCAGTTTAAGCACAAAAACATTTTTCATCGTGCTCCTCTGTTCAAATTCAGAAGCGTTTCCTGCATGGCTGTGTCTGATCTTCCACTTTTCCTTCCACATACACACTGATTTGGCGTTTTTATTTCTAATCTGTGGCTCTCTGACATTTCATCGGGTTCAAAGGAGTTTGTGCGGATTATCAGGAGGGTGTCGACTATTCTCTTTTCATCTTGTGCATGCACTTGTTTTGGTTTTTTTTTAGACTGAAGGGTGTGTTTTTTAATATAAATTCTGTTTATAATAAAGTGTTATGTTTGGATAAAAACCTGCTTTGTCAGCTGTGATTTCTCGGTTAGCTCTCTGTGTAATGTGCTCTTGATTACATAACTGCTTTTCAGCTTTTGGGCAGTACATTTCTACATCCAAAAACTGGGCCAATATTAGATTTTAATGAAATTAAACATTTATGCTATTTTTAGATATCTCATTCAGCACTTCATTTGCATGCGCTGCACTGTGCATAAATATTTCTCAGTTCAGAGGAAGTAAAGCTTTTCTTGTCTACTGTTTCTTGGTAATGTGTAAGGATGAGCAAGCAGATGTGAGTGCAGCATCTTGTGCATAGAAGAGGACACACTGTGGTGAACAGGATGAGGCTCACATGGCGTTTTCAGCTTCGGTCACCGCCCTTCTGACCCTGTAAAATAAGGTCACTTATTCTGCAGAAGAGTGGCCCCTATAAGTTGCATTTTACTGTTGCAGGTGGTTTAGTTACAGTAGAGATAGTTACAGTTAGGTTGTTTGTCCAGTGGTTCCCAAGCAAGGGATTGGAAAGGAGTCACGAAATAAATCTGAAGGGTTGTGAGTTGACAGTGGGGCAAGAAAGAAGAAACACAAATTTGCATTAGTTACTTTTCTCTAATCTTTCAAAAAAAATGCTCTCAAGTACAGTATTTGAGTAAATGTACTTAGTTACTTTCCACCACTGCATGCAAGGACTTACAGTTGTACAATAACAGTAGTTCTTGTGCATTATGGAAATCAAACTGCATGAGTTTGCAGGACAACTTGTGTATACAGCAGAAGTGTGGACAAATGTGCATGCAGTCTATGATTAATTAACTTCTTATTGGTATGATAATAACAATATTAACAATAATAAATAATAAATAAGAATATGAAGTGTCAGTGCTCTGTAGCATGGAGAACCAATAAGGACATTGTTTGGAGTGTGTTTGGATTATTGAAGTGTGGTCCATTTCTAGCCCCGGTCGTGACGTCACCCTTCCCCTTCCACTCCCTTCTGTTGCCAAAACGGGACGTCCAGTTGTTTGCATGCAGCCGACCCTACATACAACCTGTGGACATCATCTGAGAGTTGGAGCCACTTTCTTTTTTCTTCTTTAGTCTCAGGGCCACAGGTTTTCCACAGCAGCTGAAACATGGGTAGGTGAACTGTCCTCATTTCATTCTTCTCTCTGGCGTTTTGTTTCAACACCACAGTGAAAGAAAGCGGGGGGCACTTTAATGTCTCTTTTTGTTTTTGTCTCCTCTCATTTGGATGCTGTCTTTTCTTTTTCCGGGTGTGTGCGCTCCGTGTGATGCAGGGAGGCTGGCGTCGCTGTGGTCGACTCCAGTTTGCATGTCTGCTAATCAGTTTAAAGGCTCAAACGAACAGTGTAAAAAGTGTGTTAAACTTCCACCCTGCATTTCTTTTCACCTATTGATGGCAACAAGAAAGCAAGAAAGCGCGTGCCGGGGGGGGGGGGTTAAAGTAGCTTCAAATATTAGTTTTGGGCATAATGGGTTAGTTATGAATGAGTGTGCATGATTATCTGCAGCAGCACGTGTGAGATGCCAGCCTATATCAACAGCAGAAAAATCCATTTATGTGTGTATGGAGCAGAAAATGCCATATATATATATATATATATATATATATATATATATATCTGTGTGTGTGTGTGTGTGTGTGTGTGTGTGCAGTGTGTCTGATTTCTGCGTGTTTGTGTTGCATGTCTCTGAACAGCAGGGTTTAAAGCTTTCAAAGATTAAGTCAAGAGCAAGGTCTTGACAAGCGATGGAGGAGCTCACAGTTCAGTAGTTTACTTTCAGAAAATATGCAACAGGTGCATATTTGCATGCTTCCCTACAGTGTTATACCTTCATAATATGAATACTAATTAAAAAAATAAAAAAATTCAGTGATGCTCCTGAGCAAAGCAGTTTTAGTGGTCAGTGATGGGGCATATTTTCAGGCAAATGTCTCCTGTTCCAAGGTAAAATGCGAGCTCGCCTGACTGCAGTTGCACATAAAGACTCACCTCGTCCTCCCCATGGCAACTCCTCGTGTGAGAGTTGGTGTTGATTGGATTAACAGGGAAATGATCCGCTCCCTCACTGTGGATTAAACAGGCTGGACAGGCTTGAAACACGGACGACAATTGCTGTTGTGTTTGGAAGCGGAGGCATGACGCAGGAAGTGCAGTGTTTTGTGCCTTTTCTTATTTTATTTTAACAAGCATTTATTCAGTGATATCGCAACTTGTTTTTGCATCGGAAGACCTGAGAGCACAAATCACAGCCAGGCACAAACTAGCCCAGATCTCTAGAGAGGTCCAAAACGAAAGGTTATGACTCCTCAAATAGGGTGAGACTTTGTATATGGTAAACATATTAATTCATGGGTGCATAGAGGTGCATGTTTACATTGATAACAGCAATCGTTCATGTATGAAAAGTCTGAATCTTGAAACCTATGAAATCTATAACCCGGTGATAACAAAGCTCATGTGACTCGTTTCCTTGTCCCCTTGTTAATTCTGCCAAACCCCCGTGCCAAACTTTTCTATGATGTTCGAGACCATAGAAAAGAGAACACTGGTTTCCAGTTTGTTAGGGAAGCTGTAACCAGACCAGAATGTCTTGGCAGAAGTTCAGCATTGTCTCTGCTTCTGTTTCACTGAAGGCTGACCTGAGGCCAGTAGCATTCATTTTGATCTCATTAGTCTGCTGATGCACAGGCGCCAACTTTTCCGAACATTTCTATCTCTATCCGTTACTTTTCTCCCTACCCTCCTCCACTACATCTCTCTCTTTGTCTCTGCCTCTCTCTCTCTCTCTCTCTCTCTCTCTCTCTCTCTCTCTCTCTCTCCCATTCATAACATCTGTTTCCAATAAGGCAGCAGGACTGTTTATCGCCTTCAGGCCGGTGAGAAGTTGAGAACAGACAGGATGTAGCCAAGTGACATGATTTACTGCGATGGGGAACCAGAGCCATTTTTCTGCAGGGAGCCATCATAAACTTCTCTTCTTTCAGCTCCACCGCTTTGCCTGTTATTCCCCCAAACTGCTACTTTTGTCTCATCATCGTCAGCATCATCATCCCATCTTTCATCTGCATCTGCTTCTCTCATCATCTCCCCGCTCATTGTCTTCATCATTATTCTTTCCATTTCCCTCCCGCCCTGACTATCCCCCACCACCCCCTCACCCCCACGCGTCCTCCTTCATGAATTCGCTCTTTGTGCTCCCTTTTTTCTTTTTTTCTTTTTTGCTGCAGTTCGTCTCCACTCGGCCGTATGTGGAAATTCATATCCTCTTGCATCCTCTCCTGTGGATTTGCCGCGCGACGATCTGCAGAATGGATTCTGAATGTAGCAGCCGTCAAGCAGATAGACTTCAAAGGCTGCAGATCTTAAAGGATTGTTTTATTCTGAAGGAATAAATGATCAATCAGCTGGGGAAAATGGGAGAAAGTGGAACGATCCACTGACCTGATTACAATAACAGCACACCAACAATTAAGACGCGTCATAATAGCCTGGGGATTGCAGAATACAAACTCGAATTAGTAGGTTTTTATTAATCTGCATATTAAGTTTGCAAGTTTGTGAAAGCTTGTATTTAAAGACAGGGGCTGCTGATATTCACATTTTGCACAAACACTACCTTAAACAGTGTACGAATGAAATACTTTTCCATACTCAGTGTGTGTGTTAATATGTAATGATGTATATATACTATAAAAAATACACACAAGATGAAACACATGCATATTGTGCAATTTTGATCAATTAACGCTTAAACAGAACTGCAATCCACAGTTTCCAACATTAACGAATGTTGAATTTTTCAGTTGTTAATTATTAGGAGTTGATATTAGAGATATGATGATAGGACTTTGTGGCAGCCTTTCAAAACTGTCTGTAAGTGTTTAATTAACTATGAAGGTTGTGGACCTAGAGAAACACTGGCATAGCTGATGGTTATTAGAGTTGAATTAAGATTGACAATCGGAATTAGCTGCCTTGAGTGTATTAGGATTTTGACTGAATGCCAAGAAAGACACGGAGAGAAGCAGTCGCAATTTTGTGAGGGCGTCAGTAAATAATACAGATAAGGAGAGAGGCACATTAAAACCCGAGAGGACTCAGGTGTGTGCTGGGGTTTGGTAATGGGCAGGGAGCCTTGACAAAAAGCAAAGGGAAAGCTGGGTAAACAGTCCGGTCCGAACAGAAAGAGGTGTAGCAAAGATAATAAGTTCAGTTTTATTCAAAGGATATGTTTATTATCACCGACTCCTGTCTCATAACTGCAAACCATTCCTCAGCTTCCACCCCGGTTGCTTCACAGTTAAAGGATATTTTCAACGTTAATCACGTCTTTTTTTTTCTTTTTTTTTAGAAAATGTCATCCATTTTTTTTTGTAGTTTCTCTGCAACAGGCATAGTTCTTCTTCATCTCTAACTTCTGCAGCATCTGTACTTCACCTCGTTAGTCTCGGAATTGATTTTGTGGTTTTACTGATCTCTAGCTTGGGTACCAAGCTATATCACAGAAACGCACCACCTGTGGTCCAGGCACTTTCCTCTTGGCAAAATCATTATTTGGCTTTCAGAAATAACCTTTTATTTTTTTGTTTTTGTTTCATAATACTGGCAGTTCTTCTATATGTACTATTGATTTTGATATTGATTTTATATTCTTATTCTTTATTAACCCTGTAGAGGAAACAAAGATTTCCAACGTGCAGCCATTCCTTCTATACACCCACTTCCCAACAACCTCGTATTTCCTTTCATATTTAGGCAACGATCAGCTTGTCCTCTCCCTGTACTGCATGGGAGCATTTTAAGCTCAGCCCAGTGGCTACTCTGATGTGTCAGAATCAGACGTTGTCGAGAAAGACCTGTTGCCATGGCGACGCGGCGATGCACAAAAGCTCCGAGGCAGGCATCATGCCAAACCTGGCACATGCGGACAGTCATACATCTGATTGCACAATCCCACACGGGCAAAAACAAATAGGCAA